CCGTATTCTGACTCTCTGCGCCTATTTTCAGTTTCAAATTACGACGTTTCATACCGAAAATATGCCAAATACTGTAACGGCGATGGGTCATATTTTGCCCAAACCCACCTGCAGTTTTCAAAATGTCCGAAATGTCGGAAATTTGACTCTTGGGCGTGATTTTTGAGCCGAATTCTGACTCTCTGCACCTATTTTCAGTTTCAAATTACGACGTTTCATACCGAAAATATGCCAATTACTGAAAACGGCGATGGGTCATATTTTGCCCAAACCCCCCTACAGTTTTCAAAATGTCTGAAATGTCGGAAATTTGACTCCTGAGCGTGATTTTTGAGCCGTATTCTGACTCTCTGCGCCTATTTTCAGTTTCAAATTACGACGTTTCATACCGAAAATATGCCAATTACTGTTAACGGCGATGGGTCATATTTTGCCCAAACCCCCCTGCAGTTTTCAAAATGTCCGAAATGTCGGAAATTTGACTCCAGAGCGTGATTTTTGAGCCGAATTCTGACTCTCTGCGCCTATTTTCAGTTTCAAATTACGCCGTTTCATACTGAAAATATGCCAATTACTGAAAACGGCGATGGGTCATATTTTGCCCAAACCCCCCTACAGTTTTCAAAATGTCTGAAATGTCGGAAATTTGACTCCTGAGCGTGATTTTTGAGCCGTATTCTGACTCTCTGCGCCTATTTTCAGTTTCAAATTACGAAGTTTCATACCGAAAATATGCCAATTACTGTAAACGGCGATGGGTCATATTTTGCCCAAACCCCCCTGCAGTTTTCAAAATGTCTTAAATGTCGGAAATTTGACGCCCGAGCGTGATTTTTGAGCCGTATTCTGACTCTCTCCGCCTATTTTCAGTTTCAAATTACGACGTTTCATACCGATAATATGCCAATTACTGAAAACGGCGATGGGTCATATTTTGCCCAAATCCCCCTGCAGTTTTCAAAATGTCTGTAATGTCGGAAATTTGACTCCTGACCATAATTTTTGAGCCGAATTCTGACTCTCTGCGCCTATTTTCAGTTTCAAATTACGACGTTTCATACCGAAAATATGCCAATTACTGTAAACGGCGATGGGTCATATTTTGCCCAAACCCCCCTGCAGTTTTCAAAATGTCTGAAATGTCGGAAATTTGACTCCTGAGCGTGATTTTTGAGCCGAATTCTGACTCTCTGCACCTATTTTCAGTTTCAAATTACGACGTTTCATACCGAAAATATGCCAATTACTGAAAACGGCGATGGGTCATATTTTGCCCAGACCCCCCTGCAGTTTTCAAAATGTCTGAAATGTCGGAAATTTGACTCCTGAGCGTGATATTTGAGCCGTATTCTGACTCTCTGCGCCTATTTTCAGTTTCAAATTACGACGTTTCATACCGAAAATATGCCAATTACTGTTAACGGCGATGGGTCATATTTTGCCCAAACCCCCCTGCAGTTTTCAAAATGTCCGAAATGTCGGAAATTTGACTCCTGAGCGTGATTTTTGAGCCGAATTCTGACTCTCTGCGCCTATTTTCAGTTTCAAATTATAACGTTTCATACCGAAAATATACCAATTACTGTAAACGGCGATGGGTCATTTTTTGCCCAAACCCCCCTGCAATTTTCAAAATGTCCGAAATGTCGGAAATTTGACTCCTGAGCGTGATTTTTGAGCCGAATTCTGACTCTCTGCGCCTATTTTCTGTTTCAAATTACGACGTTTCATACCGAAAATATGCCAATTACTGTAAACGGCGATGGGTCATATTTTGCCCAAACCCCCCTGCAGTTTTCAAAATGTCTGAAATGTCGGAAATTTGACTCCTGAGCGTGATTTTTGAGCCAAATTCTGACTCTCTGCGCCTTTTTTCAGTTTCAAATTTCGACGTTTCATACCGAAAATATTCCAATTACTGTAACAGCGATGAGTCATATTTTGCCCAAACCCCCCTGCAGTTTTCAAAATGTCCGAAATGTCGGAAATTTGACTCCTGAGGGTGTTTCTGAGCCGAATTCTGACTCTCTGCACCTATTTTCAGTTTCAAATTACGACGTTTCATACTGAAAATATGCCAATTACTGAAAACGGCGATGGGTCATATTTTGCCCAAACCCCCCTGCAGTTTTCAAAATGTCCGAAATGTCGGAAATTTGACTCCTGAGCGTGATTTTTGAGCCGAATTCTGACTCTCTGCACCTATTTTCAGTTTCAAATTACGACGTTTCATACCGAAAATATGCCAATTACTGAAAACGGCGATGGGTCATACTTTGCCCAAACCCCCCTGCAGTTTTCAAAATGTCGGAAATGTCGGAAATTTGACTCCTGAGCGTGATTTTTGAGCCGTATTCTGACTCTCTGCGAGCACCCCTAGGTGTGAGCGAGCACCCCTAGGTGTGAGCGAGCATCCAATGGTGTGTGCGAGCACCCACAGGTGTGAGCGAGCACCCACAGGTGTGACCGAGCATCCACAGGTCTGACCGAGCACCCACAGGTCTGGCCGAGCACCCACAGGTCTGGCCGAGCACCCACAGGTCTGGCCGAGCACCCACAGGTCTGGCCGAGCACCCACAGGTCTGACCGAGCACCCACAGGTCTGGCCGAGCACCCACAGGTCTGGCCGAGCACCCACAGGTCTGGCCGAGCACCCACAGGTCTGAGCGAGCACCCACAGGTCTGAGCGGGCACCCACAGGTGTGAGCGGGCACCCACAGGTGGGAGCGGGCACCCACAGGTGGGAGCGGGCACCCACAGGTGGGAGCGGGCACCCACAGGTGGGAGCGAGCACCCACAGGTGGGAGCGGGCACCCACAGGTGGGAGCGGGCACCCACAGGTGGGAGCGGGCACCCACAGGTGGGAGCGGGCACCCACAGGTGGGAGCGGGCACCCACAGGTGGGAGCGGGCACCCACAGGTGGGAGCGGGCACCCACAGGTGGGAGCGGGCACCCACAGGTGGGAGCGGGCACCCACAGGTGGGAGCGGGCACCCACAGGTGGGAGCGGGCACCCACAGGTGGGAGCGGGCACCCACAGGTGGGAGCGGGCACCCACAGGTGGGAGCGGGCACCCACAGGTGGGAGCGGGCACCCACAGGTGGGAGCGGGCACCCACAGGTGGGAGCGGGCACCCACAGGTGGGAGCGGGCACCCACAGGTGGGAGCGGGCACCCACAGGTGGGAGCGGGCACCCACAGGTGGGAGCGGGCACCCACAGGTGGGAGCGGGCACCCACAGGTGGGAGCGGGCACCCACAGGTGGGAGCGGGCACCCACAGGTGTGAGCGGGCACCCACAGGTGTGAGCGGGCACCCACAGGTGTGAGCGGGCACCCACAGGTGTGAGCGGGCACCCACAGGTCTGCCTGGGCACCCACAGGTCTGCCGTGGCACCCACAGGTGTGAACAAGCACCCAATGGGGCTCGCTCCCTCCATTGGGTGCTCGCTCCCACCGGTGGGTGCTCGCTCCCACCGGTGGGTGCTCGGTCAGACTAGTGGGTGCTCGCTCCCACCGGTGGGTGCTCGCTCCCACCAGTGGGTGCTCGCTCCCACCAGTGGGTGCTCGGTCAGACCGGTGGGTTCTCGCTCCCACCGGTGGGTGCTCGGTCAAACCAGTGGGTGCTCGGTCAGACCAGTGGGTGCTCGCTCCCACCGGTGTGTGCTCGCTCCTACCAGTGGGTGCTCGCTCAGACCAGTGGGTGCTCGCTCCCACCGGTGGGTGCTCGCTCCTACCGGTGGGTGCTCGCTCAGACCAGTGGGTGCTCGGTCAGACCTGTGGGTGCTCGGTCAGACCTGTGAGTGCTCGCTCAGCCCAGTGGGTGCTCGGTCAGACCTGTGGGTGCTTGTTCAGACCTGTGGGTGCTTGTTCAGACCTGTGGGTGCTTTTTCAGACCTGTGGGTGCTTGTTCAGACCCAAACATCCCAAATCCGATACCTGAGCCATATTTTGGAGCCAAACTCTGGCTCTCTGCACGTATTCGCATTTTGAAATTCCGACTTTTTATGCCGATAATATGCCAATTACTTAAAGCGGTGGGTCACATTTTGCCTAAACCCCCTTGCAGTTTTCAAAATATCCCAAATATCCCTAATCCGATACCTGAGCCATATTTTGGAGCCAAATTCTGGCTCTCTGCACGTATTCGCAGTTCGAAATTCAGACTATTTATATATCGGAAATATGCCAATTACTGAAAGCGACAATGGGTCACATTTTCCCCAAACCCCCCTGCAGTTTTCAAAATATCCCAAACATCCCAAATCCGATACCTGAGCTATATTTTGGAGCCAAATTCTGGCTCTCTGCACCTATTCGCAGTTTGAAATTCCGACTTTTTATATCGAAAATATGCAAATTACTGACAGCGGCGGTGGGTCACATTTTACCCCCCCCCCCTGCAGTTTTCTCAAATATCCCAAACATCCCAAATCCGATACCTGAGCCATATTTTGGAGCCAAATTCTGGGTCTCTGCACGTATTCCCAGTTTGAAATTCCGACTTTTTATACCGAAAATATACCAATTACTGAAAGCGGCGGTGGGGCACATTTTGCCCAAACCCCCCCTGCAGTTTTCAAAATATCCCAAACATCCACCCCCACTCTCCCTCATACTCCCTTACTCCCCCCCCCCCTTCTCCACCACTCTCTCCCATACTCCCCTACTCTCCCCCCCCCCTCTCCCCCATACTCCCCCACTCTCTCCCATACCCCCCCACTCTCCCCCATACTCCCCCTTTTTCCCCCACTCTCCCCCATACTCCCCCACTCTCCCCCATACTCCCTCTCTCTCCCCTACTCTCCCCAACTCTCCCTCACTCTCCCCCATACTTCCCCACTCTCCCCCATACTCCCTCATTCTCCCCCATACTCCCCCACTCTCCCCTATACAAGGTGAGTAACAGCAGCACACCATAAGTCAGGCATCACAAGCGGCGGATGATGCATTCATGACATGGTGCCAGGCACAGTGGGGGCCAGTCTGGCATCTGGCACTGAGGGGGCCACACTGCCTGCACACCTTCCGGCCTCACTGGATAACGTGCCGCACAACAGGAGAGTCACGGTGCTCGCGGCTCCTGGGTGTGTATCATGTTACAAGCGTTCTTGGTGCTTCGTGTTCTCTGTCGCTGAACCATGACGAGCCTTGAGAAATATGTCATTCAGTAGTGACGGTCGACACTGTGACCCCACACGTGTCTGCCCCTCGACACTGTGACCCCACACGTGTCTGCCTCTCGACATAGATCATTCCAATAGTCAGCATTTCGACAACGCTGCGGAGGGCGAGTGAGATTACATACGTCCATAAGAGCCAACGTCGACAGTACCGACGCAGAGTCGACAGCATCGCCGCAGAGTCGATAGCTCTGCCGCAGGATCGACAGCATCGCCGCAGGGTCGACAGCATCGCCGCAGGGTCGACAGCTCTGCCGCAGCGTCGACAGCATCGCTGCAAAATCAACAATATCGCCGCAGTGCCGACAACACCGCCGCAGGGTCGACAACACCGCCAAAGGATCGACAACACCGCCAAAGGGTCGACAACACCGCCAAAGGGTCGACAACACCGCCAAAGGGTCGACAACGCCGCCAAAGGGTCGACAACGCCGCCAAAGGGTCGACAACACCGACAGAGGGTCGACAACATCAACAGAGGGTCGACAACACCGCCAGAGGGTCGACAACACCGCCAGAGTGTCGACAACACCGCCAGAGTGTCGACAACACCGCCAGAGTGTCGACAACACCGCCAAAGTCTCGACAACACCGCCAAAGTGTCGACAACACCGCCAAAGTATCGACAACACCGCCAAAGTATCGACAACACCGCCAAAGGATCGACAACACCGCCAAAGGATCGACAACACGGCCAAAGGATCGACAACACCGCCAAAGGGTCGACAACACCGCCAAAGTGTCGACAACACCGCCAAAGTGTCGACAACACCGCCAAAGTGTCGACAACACTGCCAAAGTATCGACAACACCACCAAAAGGTCGACAACACCGCCAAAGGGTCGACAACACCAACAGTGTCGACAACACCGCCAAACGGTCGACAACACCGCCAAACGGTCGACAACACCAACAAAGTGTCGACAACACCGACAAAGTGTCGACAACACCGCCAAAGGGTCGACAACACCCTACTAGTGTTATCTTGTAACTAACAAACCGGAAGAGGACAAAAATACAACGATACCAATAGTAAAGAAACTCGAACCAAAATACAGTAGTTGTACTGACCAAAATTAATTATTACGCGAATTATTTAAATTATATTCATAAAATTTAAGTTTTTCGTAGGGAAAAACATATTTAGCGTCCGACAAATAAATAATTAATGGAAAGCAGTTAATAGTATGCGAGTTCAAGAAAGTTAAATAATGATGTGACAGACTGGGTTGTATTATAATGCAAACATATACTCAGTTTGGGACAACATAATTACTGCCACCGTCTGTAGTTACTGCACTATCTACTGCGATGGAACTCCATCTGAAGCAAAGATACTCGTATGACTTTATTAAGAACATATAAGCCAGATAATTTAACATAATCTTGGCTGATCGAGCGATGGAATGCCAGTATAGGAATGGTGGTGGAGGAGGCCCCGGAGAGGCAGAACCCAAGAGTCGGCGCCCGACCGTGAGTCACGCTCACCCCCCTTCCCCGTGACTCTCACTCGCCACAGTTTATAGGTAAGACCTTATGGCTCTCCATGAATAGAATAAGTACTAAAATGTTAATTTGTTATAATTATATGACTTTACCATGTCGGGGATAGAATGCCTGTTAGGCTTATCTAGGTCCCCCCTAGGTCAACGACTGCACTTCCTCTCTGTCCATTTCGCTCTGTCTTTCCCTATAGATCAATCTCTTCAGCTCAGGAACTTGTCTCGTTCTACATTTTTGGCCCTTTTCTTGGTCTTTCCTGTCATTTTTCAAGTAAGGGTGTCATGATTGGGATGCATATTCAACTGTGGGTCTCACGTTCGTTGTATATTGGACCTGCAAAACTCCTTTGCCCAAGTTTCTGAACAATACACAAATGTTGGTCAGTATGCCATATGCAGTTGTAGCTATTCAGTTAATCTGTTATCCTACCATCACATTTGAAGTTATGTCCACTTGCAGGACTTTCTCCTTTTCTGATTCAAGAACTTGTCTTCCCTTCATTTTATACTGTTGTACCGTTCTTCGCACTCCTGTTCCTATCCTCACAATTTTGCACATAGCCGAGCTAAAATCTAACAACCATTTCTCAGACTATTTCTAGAGTATGTCCAAATTCGCTTGCAGTGCCTCACAATCAACCCTTACTCGGATAGAACTTTAGTAGTCATTTGTTGGACCAATCATTCAGTGTGTGTGTGTGTGTGTACTCACCTAGTTGTACTCAGCTAGTTGTGCTTGCGGGAGCTGAGCTCTGGCTCTTTGGTCCCGCCTCTCAACTGTGTGTGTATTTACCTAGTTGTACTCAGCTAGGTGTGCTTGCGGGGGTTGAGCTCTGGCTCTTTGGTCCCGCCTCTCAACTGTGTGTACTCACCTAGTTGTACTCAGCTAGTTGTGCTTGCGGGGGTTGAGCTCTGGCTCTTTGGTCCCGCCTCTCAACTGTGTGTGTACTCACCTAGTTGTACTCGGCTAGTTGTGCTTGCGGGGGTTGAGCTCTGGCTCTTTGGTCCCGCCTCTCAACTGTCATTCATTTGCTACTATTTTTTCCCCCTCACATACACACACACCCCAGGAAGCAGCACGTGATAGCTGACTAACTCCCAGGTACCTATTTACTGCTAGGTAACAGGTGCATCAGGGTGAAAGAAACTGCCCATCATTTCTCGCCAGCGCCAGGAATTGAACAGGATCACGTGCCCAGCGTGCTATCCACACAGCCACCGGCACCCACAGTGTGTGTGCGTGCGCGTTAGAGAGAAATATATGTTGACATAATAGAAGAAAAATATATTGGTTAGAAAGGCGGGGTCCAAGAGCTAATAGCTCGATTCTGCAGGCACATACACTTGTGGCTGCCAAGCTGCCATTGTCAGCCCAGGAGTAAAAGTCCAGCCGGTGAGCTGGGGAGCGGACAGATGTGTATTTGGGTTTGTGTCAGGTGTTTGTTGGCTTTAGTCTATGTTTGCGGGCACGTGGAACTGGGCAGGTGGAGAAGTACCTGCACCTTCACCATCTTTTTGGTCAGTCACACACTTCAGATCCCAATTATTTTGCTAATTAGCTCATGCTCTCACTCTTTCCTTAATTTTATTGTTTCTTACAACCAAGCGTAGTTGTGTACCTACTGCATTAATTTACTCACAGCTCTCCTTCCTACTGATGCTAAAACTACCTATCCCGTCTCACCAAACTTCCACGACCCCTCTCTCTCTCTGGTTAGTATTATTTATAACTCCGAGACCTCCACCCTCACAGTGACTCGCTGTCTTTTGTTGCTTAGGTACTCCCTTATCTAGTGGAGTACCTTCCCTTTCACTGCCATCTGCATCTGTATCTTGTGCACTAATCTCTTATGTTGGTACTGTGCCAAAGGTTTTCTGGCAATCAAATAATATGCAGTCTGCCCAGCCCTCTTTATCTTGCCCCATTTGTGTTGCCTGGTCATAGAATTCAATTAATCCTGTGAAGCATGATTTGCCCACTCTGAACCCATGCTGATGTGTTGCAAAGTTCTTTCGCTCCAAATGTTCCACTAGTTTTTTCGCACAATCTTCTCCCGCATCTTGCACGGTATGTAAGTTAGGGACACTGGCCTGTAGTTCAGTGCCTTCTTGTATATTGGGATTACATTGGCCGTCTTCCAAATTTTTGGCAGTCCACCTGTTACCAGTGATTTGTTGTACACCATGGATAGTGGCAGGCACAGAAGGGGATTATCAGGAGAAAACGCCAAGCCATTACGACTATATACCACTAGGACGGTCGGGGATTGAACAACGACCTGCATGAAGCGAGACCGTCGCTCTACCGTCCAGCCCAAGTGGTTGGACCAGAGCTTCTGATCCTTCCTTTAGTATCCATGGCGAGATTCCATCCGGACCTATAGCCTTTGTCACATCCAAATCTAGCAGATGCTTCCTCACCTCCCCACTGGTAATTACAAACGCCTATAGTGATGTCTTGTTAAATATTCCTTCTCTTATCTCTGGGACTTCTCCTTGCTCTACTTTTAAAACCTACTGGATTTCCTTTTTGAGTTCTTCACACACTTTCTTGTCGTTTGTATTGAATCTTTCTGCCCCTATCTTCAGTTTCATTACTTGTTCCTTCACTGTTATTTTCCTCCTGATGTGGCTGTGCAGCAATTTAGGTTGAGTCTGCAGGCGACGAGTCACAATAACGTGGCTAAAGTATGTTGACCAGATCACACACTAGAAGGTGAAGGGACGACGACGTTTCGGTCCGTCCTGGACCATTCTCAAGTCAATTGTCGACTTGACAATCGACTTGAGAACGGTCCCGGACGGACTGAAACGTCGTCGTCCCTTCACCTTCTAGTGTGTGGTCTGGTCAACATAGGTTGAGTCTTTTCCTTGCTCGCTATGTCAATTCCATATTGTCGCTCTCCCTCTCTTCTCACCCTGACGTATTCATTCCTGGCGCTCTGGTATCTTTCTCTGCTCTCTAGTGTCCTGTTATTTCCACAGTTTCTCCGCGCCTTTGCACTTAGTTGCTTTGCTAACTAACATTTCTGACTAAACCGTGGGTTTCTTATCTGCATTTCATTTGTTTCCTTTTGGGTTGGGACGAACTTGCCTGCTGCCTCCTTACACTTTTGCGTTATGTAGTCCATCATGTCTTGGGCCGTCTTTCCTCTGAGCTCTTTTACTAAGCTATATCTGTTAGGAATTTCCTTGTCTCCTCATAGTTTCCCTTCCGGAATGCCGGCCTTTTGTTTTCTAGGCCCTTCCTTAAGTACCTTAACCCAACTTCGACCAGGTACCCAAACATCAGTACACCGTGATCACTCATTCCTACCGGGGCTTCGAAACCGATTTCCTGTATGTCGAAGTTGTTCAGAGTGAAGACTAGGTCGAGTCCCGCTGGTTCATCGTTGTGCGTGTGTGTGTGTGTGTGTGTGTGTGTGTGTGTGTGTGTGTGTGTGTGTGTGTGTGTGTGTGTGTTCACCTAGCTGTGCTTGCGGGCGTTGAGCTCTGCTTTTTCGGCCCGCCTCTCAACTGTCAATCAATCAACTGTTTCTAACTATTAATTTTCACAAACACACACACACACACACACACACAGACACACACACACACACACACACACACACAGGAAGCAACTCGTAACAGCTGTCTAACTCCCAGGTACCTATTTACTGCTAGGTAATAGGAGCATCAGGGTGAAAGAAACTTTACCCATTTGTTTCTACCTGGTCCGGGAATCGAACCCGAGCCACAGGATTACGAGTCCTGCGCGCTATCCACTCAGCTACCAGACCCCCAAACACCTATCCTTATCGTTAGCGCTAGCGTGTGAAGGGTGAGGGGGGTTGAGTAGTGTGAGGGTTGAGGGGGTTGAGTAGCGTGAGGGGTGAAGGGGTTGAGTAGTGTGAGGGGTGAGGGGGTTGAGTAGTGTGAGGGGGTTTAGTAGTGTGAGGGGATTGAGTAGTGTGAGGGGTGAGGGGGTTGAGTAGTGTGAGGGGGGGTTAAGTAGTGTAAGGGGTGAGGGGGTTGAGTAGTGTAATGGGTGAGGGGGTTGAGTAGTGTGAGGGGGTTGAGTAGTGTGAGGAGGTTGAGTAGTGTGAGGAGGTTGAGTAGTGTGAAGGGTGACGGGGTTAAGTAGTGTGAGGAGGTTGAGTAGTGTGAAGGGTGAGGGGGGGTTAAGTAGTGTGAGGGGTGAGGGGGGTTGAGTAGTGTGAGGGGTGAGGGGGTTGAGTAGTGTAATGGGTGAGGGGGTTGAGTAGTGTGAGGGGGTTGAGTAGTGTGAGGAGGTTGAGTAGTGTGAAGGGTGAGGGGGTTGAGTAGTGTGAGGGGTGAGGGGGTTAAGTAGTGTGAGGGGTGAGGGGGTTGAGTAGTGTGAGGGGTGAGGGGGTTAAGTAGTGTGAGGGGTGAGGGGGTTGAGTAGTGTGAGGGGTGAGGGGGGTTGAGTAGTGTGAGGGGTGAGGGGGGGTTGAGTAGTGTGAGGGGTGAGGGGGGGTTGAGTAGTGTGAGGGGTGAGGGGGGGTTGAGTAGTGTGAGGGGTGAGGGGGGGTTGAGTAGTGTGAGGGGTGAGGGGGGGTGAGTAGTGTGAGGGGTGAGGGGGGTTGAGTAGTGTGAGGGGTGAGGGGGGTTGAGTAGTGTGAGGGGTGAGGGGGTTGAGTAGTGTGAGGGGTGAGGGGGGTTGAGTAGTGTGAGGGGTGAGGGGGGTTGAGTAGTGTGAGGGGTGAGGGGGGTTGAGTAGTGTGAGGGGTGAGGGGGGTTGAGTAGTGTGAGGGGTGACGGGGGGGTGAGTAGTGTGAGGGGTGAGAGGGGTTGAGTAGTGTGAGGGGTGAGGGGGGTTGAGTAGTGTGAGGGGTAAGGGGGGTTGAGTAGTGTGAGGGGTAAGGGGGGTTGAGTAGTGTGAGGGGTAAGGGGGGTTGAGTAGTGTGAGGGGTAACGGGGGTTGAGTAGTGTGAGGGGTAAGGGGGGTTGAGTAGTGTGAGGTGTGAGGGGGGGTTGAGTAGTGTGAGGTGTGAGGAGGGTTGAGTAGTGTGAGGGGTAAGGGG